CTGATGATGCAGCTGCTGCTGATGCTGACGACGCAGACGACGATGACGGTGACAATATTGATGTTGCGGTTGATGATGTTGATGACGCCGATGATGAGGATACTGATGATGATGAGGATCGGGAGGCTGATGATGATAATGATTATGATGAAGATGATGATGCTGCTTACGAGGATGATGGGGATGACAATGATGATGCTGATGATGACGATGACGATTGTGCTGATGCTGCTGATGATGCTGATGATGACGATGCTGGTGGTGGTGGTTTTGGTGATAACGGTGATGATGGTGATAGTGGTACGGATGCTTGTAACGAGAATGCTGATGATGCTGATGGTGATGCTGATGACAATGCTGATGACGATGACGATGATGATGATGCTGATGATGATGATGATCATGATGATGCTGATGATGCTGATGCTGCTGACGATGGTGATGTCGCTAATGCTGCTGATACTGGTGAGGGTGATGATGACGATGCCAGTACCGATGCTGCTGCTGCTGCTGCTGCTGAGGATGATGATGATGATGATGCTGCGATATGTGTTGATGGTGTTGGCGCTGATGATGCTGGTGATGATGGTGGTGGTGACAATGATAGTGATGGTGGTGCTGATGATGATGCTGATGCTTACGATGTGGATGGTAATGTTTCTGTCGGTGACGATGACGACGATGGCGATGACGTTGATGATGATGCTGATGATACTGATGCTGATGCTGATGCTGATGCTGCTGCTGCTGCTGCTGATGCTGATGCTGATGATGATGATGATGATGATGATGATGATGATGATGATGCTGAGGAGGAAGAGGAGGAGGAATAGCAGGAGGAGGAAGATCTGGATATTGATTGAACACTTCGTGAGGCAAGGCCACGGCACGACATCGTGGAACGAGCCAGGCCGAGACCCGAACCCCGAGGGGAGGGGCAGATTCCCAGGGCTCTCCCACGCCAGCCTGTCCTACCTCACGAGTGACTCAGGCCCAGCGCCAGAGCGGGCCCCAGCACCTTGGCAGGCCCAAGCTTGTGGGAAGGGTGTTGGCATTCACGAATGCGCGTATGGATATCGTCAGGGGCTGCCTGACCTCTGGAAAAGCAAACGAGTGAGGCAAGTTGACGCCTGCAGCCGCCAAACGCTGCCAAAGAGATGCTCGCATTCGGAATGCGAAGCCGCAGAGGAAAACAACAGCACCCCTCAGAATATGTACTGCCTAGACTCAAGGATTGTGCAGCATGCTCGACGTATGCAGCCACCCAACTGGATACATGAACACGTAAAGAAGCGGCAACATGGATGGCTACCGCGCAAAGAGAGAAGAAAGCAGGCTAGTTCCTTCTCTGTCCCGTGTAAGGCTCAGGTCGACTGGCTTTAGAACCGCCGGCGCCTTCACCACGGCCAAAGGACGGCTTCCCTGCCGAAGCGCCCGTCGGATCCGCCCGATATTGGGATTGATCTGGGTCTGGAACAGATGGCGCTGGAAGAGATCTCCCCAGAGTGTGGCAAGAACTCGCCTCATCTGCTGTGTCGGCTCGTCGCAGTGTGCCCGCCACGGAAGGCGGGGCTGAACCGGCGGCGTGTTGATCAGAAGGGGTACGTCCGGGATGCGGGGGTGAACGAGAGCGGTCTGGACGTGGAGCAGGTGCCAGAGCGGGCTCTGCAGCAAGACTTTCCCCGAGGTTTGCGCTTTGGCCGGCTGCACCTGCTAGATGTGGAATGGCCTCAACGCGAGGCTGAAGGCCATCAGGAGGAAGAGGAGAGGCTGGACCTTCCATGGCCATCATGGCCTCCTTGGCCGTCCAGCGCTTTTCCCTCTCTCGTAAACGCTGGGCTCGGCGCGCAGCTCGAAGTTTCTCCAACAATTGCGCAGGATCATCGGGGTCTTCAGCTTCGGCCTGTGCATCCTGAGCTCGCTCCTTGTGCAGAGTTGCTGGCGCAGAATGCCGCGCAGCCGCGAACATCACAGTGCCCGCAACCGCACCAGCCACAGCAGCAACAGTGCGCCTCGGCGCGTGCTCCCGGATCGCCGCCTCCACAGCCGCCGCCACAAGGGAGGGGCCATCAGCAGCTCTGGCGCTCATCTATGTCTAGCAAGGGGAGGCCTGGCGGGGCAGCTAAACAAACGCGATCGCTTGAGCCCGAATGCAGTCACGAGTGCGCATCCACGCAGCCTCAGCGCCAGCATTCGGTTCGTGAGTTGACTACAGGCGGTCCATAGGACAACCGGCCGAAATCTTCAAAACATCTTCGGCCGGAAATTCAAACTCCAAAACTATCAAAGAATCTTGACTGGGAAATTCAAATTCCAAGACAACCTGAGAACATCTCAAACACAAAACCTGGGGAAAGCTCAACCACAGAAGAAACTACATAACATCTTGAAGCCGAAACCTGGGAAACGATTCGACCCACAAAAAACTTAGAACAAACCTGAAGCTCAAACCCGGAAAAAAATTAGCCCGGCGAAGAACCCAACCATATGCAGTTGTCAGTACCGCAGCTGCGGGTTTCATCTTCAATGGAAATCCCCAAGGACTACGGAACGTGTGAGGGGTGTGCCGAGATGGGTGCCACTGGGGCATTCTTCGAAGCTCCCTATGGGGACATG